GGGCCGGCACGCCCAGGGACCCGTCTCCGCCCCGGGGGGCCTGCAGAGCGATCGCCGTGGCTCTGTCTTGGGGCGGTGGGCTCGAGGGGCAGGTGGATGTGTCCTGAGGAAGGGGCCGGAGTCCGGCTGGCCGGGCCTGGAGCCTTGAGGAGGGTTGAAAGAGTAAAGGGCTGACCGGGACAGTGGAAGGATTAAGGATTAAGAGGAGGAGGCTTTGAGGGGCTGGAAGGTTCATGGCTTAGGACCTCGGGCTGTGACAGCTTCTCCTTTAGGGCATGAGTTCCGGTGAAAGTGGGGCAGCAGCAGGGCCCAGGGAAGGGGGCGTCTGCGGTGGTCAGTGTGGGGGAGACCGTGGGAAACGGCAAGAGGGGCTGGGGGCCTGCGGGCAGCAGCCGGTGTGAGATCTGGGCGGCTGGGAATTCCCAGAAGGTAGGGAGAGTGGGGGCTGGAGCTGCTGGGCTGAGTCAGGGGCCTCGGGCCCCTGGGCGGGTGGCTGGATGCCAAGGAGAGCTGAATAGGGTGGGGGGAGCTGGCTGTGGCCTTTGTCTTCAGGCCCGTTGGGAGAGGCGCCGGGCAGGAGCTCCAGGGAGGTGGGCACCAGTGGATGGAGCAGGGGCCGCAGGGGAAGGGGTGGTTCCTTTCCCAGGATCTTCTGAATGGCCTTTGGCAGCCCAGCTCGTGAATGTGAGGGCTCAAGGCTGTTCCGGGGAGGGAGCCCAAGTTGTGGAGAGGGGTCCCCGGGGGCTGAGGTGTGGGATGGGCAGCCCAGGAGATCCAGGAAGCAGGGCTGCCGACAACTGAATCTGTTGCTTCTCTGTCATGTGCTACCGTGGTGGGGGGAGAGGGGTGGGGGAAACCGTGTTACAGACTTGTCATCCGGGTGATGCATCCCAGTCCCGCGGGCCAGCTGCTGGGGAGACCCTTCCTGATGCTTTTCTCAGGCGCTACCAGAGTTTCCCCGCCTTTTCCTAGGCCCCCGCTTCCCGCACTCCAGGGCAGAGTCACCCTGTCGCTGACTTGAGCTGGATTTGGCCCTTTTACACGTCAAGCCTCCATGTCTGGGACTGGGGGTCAGGCTCTGTCTCCAGAGAGCTCCCTCTTCTCCCCTGCCACCTCCCTATCACCACCACACTCTTTGGCCGCCATCACCTTTGCTGATAAGAGCATCTCGCTGAGGGTTGGCCATCTTCCCAGAGCCAGGGCCCTCTAGAGCCAGCAGGCCTGGCTGGGAGGGCTGGGAGACCTGCCACCCCGCCTGCCTGCTCCAGGGGGCAGTTGCAGTGAGGCCCATGACAGTCGAGGCGGGTGGGCACAGCAGATAGCCTTAGGGATGGCCTGGTGGGGGCAGGGCCAGGGCCGCCCTGTGCCGGGCACTGTTGACCACTCCTTCCACAAGGGCCCTTTGTTCCCTTCACAGGACACTCTGAATAACAATTCTCTGGGCAAGAAGCACAGTTGGCAGGATCGGGTGTCTCGATCATCCTCACCCCTGAAGACAGGTAAGTCAGGACCCTCTCCCTGACCTGGACCTCAGCCTGTCCTGACTCGGTCCCCACTGCCGAGCAAACCCAGTACTCTCCACCTGGCCAAGCGGAGGTAAACTGCCCGTCCCGCATCCTCGCACAAGTCCATGTAGGGGCTGAGGACAGCTGTGGCATGAGCGAGTCGGCTGGCCCCAGAGCCTGCCAAAGACCTGTTGCCGGGAAGGCTGTGTCTTGATTTCTGTGTCGACAGGCCAAGAGTGGAGGGGTGGGTAGCCTGGGAGTCGCACCTGCCTTCACCCTTGGCCCTGCTCTCCAGGGGAGCAGACGCCGCCACACGAACACATCTGCCTGAGCGATGAACTGCCTCCCCAGAGCAGCCCTGCCCCCACCAAGGACCGAGGCACCTCCACCGACAGCCCTTGCCGCCGCAGCGCGGCCACCCAGATGGCACCACCGGGCGGCCCGCCTGCCGCCCCACCTGGTGGCCGGGGCCACTCGCATCGAGACCGAATCCACTACCAGGCAGATGTGCGGCTAGAGGCCACTGAGGAGATCTACCTGACCCCGGTGCAGAGGCCCCCAGACCCTGCAGAGCCCACCTCTGCCTTCTTACCGCCTGCCGAGAGCCGGATGTCGGTCAGCTCCGACCCAGACCCTGCCGCCTACCCCTCCACGGCGGGGCGGCCACACCCCTCCATCAGCGAAGAGGACGAGGGCTTTGACTGCCTGTCATCCCCAGAGCGGGCTGAGCCACCAGGAGGAGGGTGGCGGGGGAGCCTAGGGGAGCCGGCGCCACCGCCACGGGCCTCGCTGAGCTCGGACACCAGCGCCCTGTCCTACGACTCGGTCAAGTACACGCTGGTGGTGGATGAGCATGCACAGCTGGAGCTGGTGAGCCTGCGGCCGTGCTTCGGAGACTACAGCGACGAGAGCGACTCGGCCACCGTCTACGACAACTGTGCCTCCGCCTCCTCGCCCTACGAGTCGGCCATTGGAGAGGAGTATGAGGAGGCCCCCCAGCCGCGGCCCCCCGCCCGCCTCTCCGAGGACTCCACGCCGGACGAGCCCGACGTCCACTTCTCCAAGAAGTTCCTGAACGTCTTCATGAGCGGCCGCTCCCGCTCCTCCAGTGAGTCCCCGGCCAGGCGTCTCTGGGGGAGAGAGCCAGACGGAGGGCTGGTCCCGGGAGGTGGCCTCAGGCCCCGTCTGGTCTGACCCAGAGTCAGGTCTGGGAGCCCCCTTCCTGCCCCAGCCCCCCTACCGAGCTGGGACCTCCCTCCTCCAGCCCCGTCTCCCCTCCTGCAGGTGCAGAGTCCTTTGGGCTGTTCTCCTGTGTCATCAACGGGGAGGAGCAGGAACAGACCCACCGGGCCATATTCAGGTGAGAGCCGTGGCGGGCTGTGCAGAGCGGACAGCGGTTTAGGCCACATCCCTGCCTGCCTCTGCCATCGCCTCATGGCCTAAACTCAACCCCTGCTGTGAGCATTCACGGGTCCACTGAGCCTTGCCCACCCTCTAGGGACTCAGCGCCCACCCTCTAGGGACTCAGCGTGTGCTGATGGATGATTCCAGGGCTTGGGTGCAGTGAGGGAGCCGAGGGTTGCACACCTAGTCTGGCAAGGTGCCAGAAGGGTGCCTGCCCACACACACACCCCACACCCCACCTCACCCTCCTCCATGTGGAAGTGCTCCTTCCCGTGACCTCTCGGTTTTATCAGGGTCTCTGCTCATTTCTCCCCGTCCTGGGATTTCCTCGGTGGCAGAGGCAAGTGTGACTGACCTTGGCCTCCCCCAGGAGCTAGCGTTGGGACAGGCACACGGGATGCTTTTGCAAATGTTTATTGAACTAACAACGCCGCTGTGGCTCCAGGACCTCAGAGTGGGCCTGGCTGGAGGGGCCCGGTGAGGAGATTCTCACCTGCCCTCGTTGGGGACAGGTTTGTGCCTCGACACGAAGATGAACTCGAGCTGGAAGTGGACGACCCCCTGCTGGTGGAGCTGCAGGCCGAAGACTACTGGTACGAGGCCTACAACATGCGCACCGGCGCCCGGGGCGTCTTCCCTGCCTACTACGCCATCGAAGTCACCAAGGAGCCTGAGCACATGGCAGGTAGCGTTCCTCCCCTGCCTGCCGCCAGACCCCGCCCCTGGCCTGCCTGCCCTGACCTGCCGCCTGGTGAACAGATGCGCCAGGTCTTGGCCAGGCAGGGAGGGGCCCGAGTGGAGGTGATTTCAGGTCCTGTTCGCAATTGTGCCAAGTGAGGCTCAGCCAGGTTGGCACATCCGGTGACTGTGGCACCTCTGCTGGCTCTGGCGCTCCGCGTGCCTCACCGCCCACCTCCACTTGGCTGCTCAGCCCACTCCTGCGGGCCCCGCCCATCTCACGACATGCTTGCTTTCCAGCCCTGGCCAAAAACAGCGACTGGGTGGACCAGTTCCGGGTGAAATTCCTGGGCTCAGTGCAGGTTCCCTATCACAAGGGCAATGACGTCCTCTGTGCTGCTATGCAAAAGGTACCCGGATCCTGCTGTTCCTTGGATGGGAGCCCACCCGGCCTAGTGCACATGGCCTCCCGGGGAGAGGGACGCAGGTGTCTGGAGGCAGTCATGGCCTTGGGCCCTGGGAAGGAGGGCCGGGCGGAGGAACGAACGGGCCGCACCTGAGTGTCCCCGTCCTCACCCACAGATTGCCACCACCCGCCGGCTCACCGTGCACTGTAACCCACCCTCCAGCTGCGTCCTAGAGATCAGCATGCGGGGCGTAAAGATAGGCGTCAAGGCTGATGACTCCCAGGAGGCCAAGGTGACTTCCCACCCCCTTCCCTTCCTTCCCCCCAGTTTGCCTCGAAGAACTGTCAACCTCTGCCGGCCTGCACCCCCATGAGTCACATGACCTGTCTCTCACTTCTTTTCTCCCTCCTGTAGGGGAATAAATGTAGCCACTTTTTCCAGTTAAAAAACATCTCTTTCTGTGGATATCATCCAAAGAACAACAAGTAAGGGGATGGGACAGAGGCCGAGGAGCTGGGCGGGGGGGATGTGTGGGTGTGAGTTCAAGTCTCTGCCCCACCAGACAGACAGACCTGTCTTCCCCCAGGTACTTTGGGTTCATCACCAAGCACCCTGCTGACCACCGGTTTGCCTGCCACGTCTTTGTGTCTGAAGACTCCACCAAAGCCCTGGCAGAATCCGTGGGGTACGTATGTGGGTGTATCCTGCCAAGCACCCAACCTCCTGGGCATGCCCCGGTCCCAGGCCCAGAGCTGCTTCCTAGTCGGCAGCCTTCTCGGTACCCCCCACCTGAGGAGTGACTTCCACGCTTGTTAGCTGCTGGGCCCTTTGTAAACTGACATCTTACCCGGGACACGCAATTCCATAGAGAACAGTGCCCAGCCGCCCTGGCAGGGGGAACCAGAGCTCCGCCAGCGCCTCTGAGGCTCCGGTGTGAAATCCCTGGGTCGAGATCCCATTCCTCCCTTGCCAGTGGTTGCCTGAGTTATCGGTGTGTCCCCTGCCTTCCAGGAGAGCTTTTCAGCAGTTCTACAAGCAGTTTGTGGAGTACACCTGCCCCACAGAGGACATTTACCTGGAGTAGCAGCACAGCACCGCCCTCTGCGTCCCCAGGCCCTCAGACCAGTGCCAGCCCAGCAGGCCGCCAACAGGATGGGGCACTGCTTGAGGAGGGGCACCCGCCACCACCAGAGGATGGGGAACTGGGGGCCACTGGCCCAGGGAGGGGGAGGGTGGGGGATCTGGGAGAGGCAGATGCAGTTTATTGTAATATATGGGGTTAGATTCATCTACGGAGGGTGGCGCGGGCTGCCTGGGGTTGGGAGGGGCAGAGCTGGCGGGGCATCAGCCCCTGGCAGAGCGGGATGTCCATTCCAGGAATGGGACCCCGCCCCACCCTGGGCCTTACTTCCCCTGCCAGGGGCTCTGGCTCTCCGGCTTGTGGTTCCTGCCTTGGTGAAGCCCCTGCCACCTGCAAGTGCCCACCCTGCCCCCAGCCCCACTGAAGCGCCCTGAGCTCAGGCCGAGCCCAGCCGCCTCCTGAGGACTTTCCAGTAAGGAAATGGCAACGGGGGAGGTGAAGTCCCTGTTCTCAGCGCTGTCACTTGTGGGGCCTCTGGATGGCTCCTGCCTCCAGCCTCACCGGCATGCTGGCCCATGGCAGACTTAGGACTCAGCAGGGCAGGAGACAGCAGCTACGGGGCCCGGTCCCGCGGGAAAAGGCTTCCTGACTGGCCCGGGCCGGGCCATCTCTGTCCTGTCCCTCTGGCCCCAACTATTAAAGTGCCATTTCCTGTCTGGACCACAGCGGGTGTATCTGTGCAGACCCCCCGCACGCCTCGCGCTCACATCCCAGGAAAGCCGAGCCTTAGCTGCACTTGAACAGCTTTATGAGGGCATCTCGTCACATGTCTGCGTCATAGTCATACTCAGCCAAGTCTGGCCCGTCCTGCTTGCGCTGCTGGGCCTGGGAGAGGAGGGGCCTCGGCCGTCGTAGCCACGGGTGCTTGGGGAGGACCCCATAGTCTAGGGAGAGAAAAGAGAGAAGGGGGGCAGCTGTTTCCGAATGGGGCTGCATCACCCTCAAGCAGATGTGACCTGGGATGAGAAGATGCTGAAGGCCGGACCTGGGTGCCTTCCCATAGGAAGGGGAGGACGGGGTGGGGGGGGGAAGACACTACCATCCACCAGGCCAAATGGCTGCGAGAGTTCCAGGGGAGCAGAGTAGTCCTCAGGAACAGACCACTGAGACCTGTGGGAGGTGGGGTGCTCAGCCCTGGCCCTGGGTCACTGCCACCTCGTGAGCACCCTGACCCTTGCACTCAGGAGTCACCTCAGAGGCTGGGAGCGGAGGAGTGCCACTGCCAGGATCAGGTGGAGAAGCAAGAGGCTGAACCCAGCCCTGGGGTGCAGAGCCCCCAGCATGGCGAGAACCATCTCCTACACAGGGCCTGGGTCCCACTCCTGCTGCCCCTCCCCTGGCAGGATGGAACCCGCTGCCAGCTCCCAGGGCCACCTCACAAAGGGCATTAGTTCCAGGGCTCCGTGTCAGCACCTGTTCTGGGGCAGGCCAGACTCCTGCACCCTGAGGATTGGTTTTATCTTACAGACCCCTTAGGCCAAGGGGCACCAAACCAAATCTTGTTCCAGTGTCACTACCCAAGGGTTTGGGCCACAGATTTGGGAGTCGGATCTCAGTTCAGGTCCTGACCTTGCCTCTCGCTAGGCAGATAAGTTGCTTCACCTCTGTGTACTTCTGTTTCCTCATCTGTGAGGCGACGTCCACGGAGGGCCCGGGATCCTCGCCACCTGGACCCCAGCCACTCCCACTGGGCCTGCTCCTGCCCTCCTGCCCCCGCTCCCATCCCTGTCATCTGCTGGTGTCACAGTCGTCCCAGGCAGGTCCTGCCAGCTAAAGAACACAGAGTGGGTCACTGAGCCGAGACCCACTCAGGGTCCATGGGGCAGGGAACCAAGCAGGCACTCCATGTCTCACTCTCGGAAGGCCTTTCCCGTGTGCTCTCTGCCACTTAGCCTGATCCAGAGACTTTCCAAGTGAGATGCAAGGTTGAACCTGCTCCCCTAAAGTGTAAGCTTCAGAAGAGGGGGCAGTTGGGCCACTGGAATCCCCAGCATTGGATGCGCCAGGTGCTCACTGAACAAATGCAGCGTGACCAGATGCTGAAGACAGTCCCTTCACAGGTTGGAGGTGCAGCTGCACCCCCACCAGAAGGCTCTGGTCCCCGGTTCTCCACTCTGAATAGTGCATGAGCCTAGTTCACCTTGGAACCACGGAATCCTTCAGATCAAAACCCCTGTCCCCCTCTGACCTGTGGTATCAGAAGCTGAGGGCCCAGGGGTCTGTGGTGTTGGTGACACATTGTTCATGCCAGTCCAGCCCTCTCTGGCTGCTGAGAGGGCCCAGAGAGGGACAGCCCTGTGTCTGACCCTGACTCCCAAGTGCCTCTTCATGTTCCTGGTCCTGAGGGTCCCCGAGGCTGGCAGGTTTTGGCAGCCCCTTCAGCCCCACCCACTGCTTGCGCTCTAAGCCCAGACACACATCCCAAGGATCACCTCCCTCTCTCTCTCTGTCCTGGGGAAAAGCACCTCCCACAGACCTGTCTCCCGTGTCCTCAAGGCTTACCCTGCCAGGCACCCGGAATGCCATCCACTCTGCCTAACTCAAAGTCCCTCATCCTTCACTCCTTGTCTCTTGGAGCCCACTCTCACCCTCCCTGTCCACAACAGTCCCCAAGGCATGTTGGGTCACACCTGATCTCCCTGTCACCACTGCCACTGCTTTAATTCAGCCCCTCCCATGGTCACAGGCCTCTGCCCCAAGGTCACTGCCCCCATCCTCCCACCTCTTCCTCACACCGAGTCCTCGAGGCCCCTAAATGAGGCTTACAAACACAGGCCCTTGCCCTGCCTGCCAGAGACCAGGTCCAAGTTTCCTCCTGGGTATGTGACACCGTTTGATTTGGCCCTGACCTTTCTCACCAGCCTGCCCCCCACCTGTCCCCGTGCCCCATGCCACTCTGCCTTAGCACCTCCCACTGCCCCACCCCACTGCCTGCTGAAAAACCAAGCGTTTCTAACAGTTTCAAAGGTGCAGGCTTTGCCGACGAAGGGTCCCTTCACCTCTGTCACCACTGCAGGCAGGCAGTCACCACTCTTGGGCCACCCTTGAGCTAGACTACTTCCTGCATATGCTTCCTGCACCTACACACCCGTCCCATCCGTCAGTCAAGAACTCAAAGGCGGGGGTCTACGCCTTACTCACTTCCGATGGTGCCTGCCACAGAGGAAGTGCCCAGGAACACCTGCTCTACTGAGCTAGCGTGAGGGTAGCCAGAGCTCTGATCCTGGTGGACAGGCCAGCCCTTTCCCCTGCCCTGGGGGTCAGAGACCTAGTTGGTGCTTCTCAGACACACTTGAGAAAAGCAGTGTCACAGTGAGGTAGCCTCTCCACCCTGGGTGGCTCTCTGCCCAGGATGTCTGGGAGGAGGCCAGGCACAGACGTCCAGTACGGAGGGAGCCCTCTCAGAACCGAAGGACCGCCCACCCAATTCAAAACTCCACAAGAGGGGAGGTGCCCACCAGTCCTAGCCCCTCGCATAGCAGCCTGCAGGGCGAGTGTGGGAGAGACCCCAGCTCCTACCCCCTGCACTCGCACCCAGCTTTCTCCCAGAGCCTCTCTGGCTCCCTTCCCCCTCAGCACCGGCCCCCAGTGCTGCTACGTGCCTGACATCCTTTTCCTGAGGGAGAAAAGCCTTTTACTCTCAATCAGGGCTTCAGGGCTCGAGTCTCCACTCAGCATGGGGGCTGGGCTCATCATTCCCCAGGCTCCACCAGGGCCCTGCTGGCGAAGGGGCAGACAGAGGCTCCGTCCAAAAGACACGCTGGGCAGCTGTCAGCACCACCTAGGCCCAGCCTTGTCTGTCTTCAGGGGCCAGTGAGAAGTACATCCCAAGGCTGCCGAGGCAAGCAGCTCTCCAGTCTCCACGAGGTTAATCGCCACTTTCTGTGGGAGAGAAGCCTGGATCCCATAGCAGAGGTTTCTTGGCCCAGCAGTGACAAGGTGCGGGCCGCAGTGCTGATGTCGCAGGAGGGTGCAAAGCCAAGAGGGTATTAGGAGGAGCACAAGTGTGGCCAGGGCTGTGGGTACAGTCTGGCCAGGACTGGTGCCAGATGCCTGGCACGGAGACACTGTATGCCGGGACTCTGCCAGAGTCAGTTTTATTAGGGAGGAGGGGCCCAGGGGTCTGATGGGCTGAAGCACCCCTGCCAAGCACAGCAGAGCCTGCCGTCCTGCCCCTCCCAAAGCCCCGCTCCCGGAAGGTCTGTCAGCCCCAACTGTAGAAATAAATTTTCTGCCAGGTGGGCAAGTAATCCATGAGCGGTCCTGCAGGGAGAGACGAACAAGTCAGAACCGGGCCCGACTCCACGCGCTCCTCACACCTGTGTGGCCAGGAGCCTGGCTGGCTCTCTGACCGCACCCCTCGGGAGGTAGCATCTCAGGGGTCTCTGCCCCACTGACAGACAAGGACCCCCCAGGCCTAGAGCAGCTTGTGCAGCATAGGAGTGACAGGCCTGCATCAGAGCCAAGACACTCTTCCTGAGCCCAGGGGCTTTCCTGAGCTGGGAACTCCCCAAAGCCCGCCCGGCCTCTTCCCTGCCACATGATCCCACTCAGAGGATGGTCCTGCATTGCTCCAGGATACTGTGGCTGGAAGAAGGCTACCACAGAGGATGTGGTCTAACAGTCCCCCACCATGGGACACCCTCCTTCTAGCCACTCCTGGCCTCACAGGCTACCCTGGCCCATGCCCAGGAGCTGCCCCACCCAACGCTGCCTTCTGGGTTCCGGATCCCAATGGTACCAAGAACCGGATTACAAGAAGACACAGACAGAAAGCAGGGAGAGGGGACCATGAGTGCAATTTACTGTGCAATCATCACACCCTGGCCCCTGCTTACTTGTGACCAGGCCGATGCCGGGGACGTGGTCGGCCAGCAGTTGGAGCAGGAAGAGAATCCTGGCCCTGGAGGGAAAACAGGAGCAGGCTGAGTGGGGGTCCCTGTGGATGACCCCGGACTGAATGCAGGGATCCCAGATGACAAAAGGTGACTTTCTGGAGTTCAGATAGAGCCAGGTGAACAAGAGCCAGACCTCTGGGCCTGACTGTGGTCTCTGCCCTACCAGGCCACCCTGGGATGCCTGAAGCCCAGCTTCGAGTTGGCCGTGTACTCACAGCACCTCACAGCCACCCTCCTGTTTCTCTCGGCTCCTTCTCCTTTCCTTCCACTGACATCCACCAAGAAGTGCTTCCAGAGGATCATGTGTGGAGCACAGTTCCCTGCCCTCAGAAGCCCCTGGTCTGGCAGAAGCACTGAGCCACACGGAAGCCTCACACACCAATGCTAAGAGTAGTCGGGGCCCCGGGAGGGGACACAGTGCTGGGGGTGGGGCACTTTGGCTCACAGGAAGGGGCGGGGGCCCAAGTCTGTTTTTTAAAGGATGAGGGTTTCCCACAGCGGACCCTGGGGTGAGAAAACAATGATGCTGACGACAGTGCTAAGAGAAATGACAAGACATAATGCGTGTTAAGTGCTTACTACACAACAGGCACCATCACATGAGTCACTTAACCCTACCACAACCCTATGGGGGAAATTTCATCCTTCCCATTGTACAGATGAGGAAAAGAGGCACAAAGAGCTCAGACTGCACCCTGGGACCCCTCCAGACACTGTTTCTTGCTTCCCTGTCCTGTGGGAAAACAAGGAATTTCTCGGGCAGATTTCTAGACCTTTTTCAGTTTGGGTCACTGTTCTGAGGGTGCTGGGCTGCTCCGGTCAGCAGGAAAGTAAGCCCACCCAGAGGTCGTGCAGCCCGAAGCCACGCCTGCAGTGACTGTGGCCACAGAACTCCATGCAGTGACACACCTGGACTGCGATGCCTCCTCTGTGAAGCATTAGCCATGTGGGGGGCAGGGTCAGGCCACACGAGTAGGTCTCTGGAATGTTTTCTCTTGAATAGGGAATAGGATTTGGCTTTAAGCCCATATACGCTTTCAAACTTATCTGAAAACAGCAAGAACTGCCCGAGTTACTGTCGCTGAGGTAGGCCTCGACAGGATGCAAGCTCATTTCCTACCAGGAAGCACAGAGGCTGGGGCTGTAAGGTTAGCTGCAGTTCAGTTACTACACCAGTGTAGGCAGGTATTGAATCCCAGACAGAGAGGGTTCCAGGAGCCTCGTCTGTCTCACAGCCCCAGTTGCTATATGTGGACCTCCAACCTACTGCTCAGAAGGCGATCTAGCCTCACCCCAGCAGGCCTTTCGGAGACCTGGCCCTGAGTACCTCAGCAGGCCCCTTTGTGGCTGGGGCTGGGAGCTCCAGACTCTCATGGGGACTGAGTGGGGACTGGACAAAGCAGGAACAGACCAGGAGAGAACATGGTTTGGAAGCCAGCACTGCCCATGGCTGGCTGAGTGTCTCTAAGTTGCCCAGGCTCCTTGAACCTCAAGTGCCTTCTCTGAGAAGTGGGGATGATCTAAATCATTTGGCAGAAAGATGAGGAAATGAGCTAGAGGTTGTGGGGCACCCACATTTGCCACTGTCCCTGTGGGGCTCCTGTAGCGCCCTCAGTCCTGCCCTGGCGGCTCTCCTGCCAACAAGAATTTAAGCTCATGCATGCATGGGCTGATGGCCCAAGAGCCCTGGGGGAGGGGCTGGGCTGGCATCTGCTGACTGCCACCTGGACGGCACACAGCAGGTGCTCAGTGAACCCTAGATGGGGGAAGGGTGAGAAGGGAGGGTGCAACAGGGGTGGGGCACCAGCGTCCACTTCCCCGCCCTCTCCCTGGCTGAGGGCAGGCCCGGCCGTTCGGTAGGGGCTGGTCCTTACTCGGAAAAGCGGTCATAGAATGGGGAGCGCAGCAAGTAGTAGAGAAGCAGGATGGTCCGGCGCCGCAGCTCCAGCCGCTCCCTCCGGGTCAGGCCCTTCCTGTCGCTCAGGAGGCTAAGGCTGGGCAGGAAGGAGATACACCGTCAGGGCCAGGGGCAGAATCTGGGCCCATGGGAGGGGAGGAGCCTTGGGCTGGGCGAGGAAAGGCCTTATCGGAAAGCCCCATGGAAAGTGGAGCTCCCCGGGCAGGCCCAGGCTCACCTGGTCACATCCACAACACCAGACAGGAGCCAGGGCTTCCACGACCGCTGACCCCACAGGCCCAGGCTGAGCACTGACGGCCAAGGCGTCAAGGATGTCTCCAGCATAGGAGCCTGGCTCGGCCCACGCCCCCACAGATCCCCAGCCCACGGGGCCAGCCCTACTCCATGCTAAGGATACAGTGCAGCAGAGGCCGCGCGATGTACAAGGACTCTGCGATTGTCTCCTGCAGCCCCAGGGGTGTAGGAGTGACGCTCAGCTCCTCATGGGGCTGCGGCTGCCGTCCCTCCCTCTGGGGCGCTCCCCAGTGCCTGGAGTGCAGGGACGGAGCTGGAACACAAGGGCTGCAGTGAGGGAGCCAGGCACAGGCTGGGGCAGGGGAAGGTGACTGCTGACAGAAGCCAGTCCCTCAGGCCCCAGCGGACCTCAGCACCCAGGTGCCCGGTTAAGCTGCACCCCCCACTTACTGTTCTGGAGGGTTCGCACCACTCGGTTTGACCGCTTCCCCACGTATGACTGCTCCAGGCCGCCAGGGCTGTGGTCAGCATCTAGCAGGGACAGACAGAAGGTCACACTGTCAGAGGGACAGGCTTCCAGTGGAGCCTACAAAGAACACACGTGCAGTGACAACTCCGGGGAGAATGGATGAGCTTATGCTAAGGCAGCAGCTGAGTCAAGGAAGCTGCAGCCAGGGGCTGTGGTCGGCACGGGACCTGTCCACAGGGAGAAGCGCCTGCAATCCTCCCTGGCCTGGGGTATGGTCAGCATCCCTGTGGCCAGAGCCAGCCAAGAACCCAGGATTGCCAGGAACCCAGCCTATGGCAGGGGAACATAGCACCATAGGGGCCTTGCTTTCAACGTGACCATGGTGAAAGACAAAGAACTGCCCCACTCAAGGTCAGGAGAGTGAGGCCCAGAGGCTGACAAGGGGTGGGCCCAAAGCCCTGAAGGGAGACAGATCTGCCAGGTGCCCTGCCTCTTGCAGCTGTGGCTCTTGATATAGAACCAGGCCCAGAAAGGAGGCTGGCAATCCCCCTATCCCCTGCTGATGCCGTCCCCTCTTCCTGCAGCCTACAAGAGCAAACAAGGACTGTGGCATCAGAAGTCCTGAGTTCAAGTTCCAGTTCTGTCCCTAACCTCATCTTTTCCTTCTCTGTAGAAGATAGGGTGATGAGAGCAATATGAGTTGATGGGGGACAGACATGCTCCGTAAACAGACAATACCGTACTCATGCTGGTTGGGCCTAAAGCCACCAATGAGGCCCACGCCCCACTCCACAGCAGGGCAGCGGCTCACCCGGGGGCTGTGCTTGGGTCTCTCTGTCCAGCGGGACGATGGGGGGTGAGGTCTGGAGGCCAGCCTTGAACCAGAGCAGCAGGAACATCCGCAGCACAGCCCTGGGTCAGGGGGTATGGCAGGGGAGGGGAGGGGCTAGTGGGCAGGGGCCGGGGTGCTCTGCTGAGCCCCACCTGTGCAGCTGGCCTGCACTAGCCCACCCAGGTCCTGCCCTCCACGGTCCCCACCTACTTGGCCAGCTGGATGAGGGCGATGACGAGCCAGCGGCCCACTTCGCCCCACACCTTGGCGGCCCCCATCTCCATGAACACTTCCACGCACTCCAGCACGCTCAGCCATGTCAGCAGCTTCTGCTGGGACAGTGACTGCAAGAGCCCCAGGCCAAGAGGTCAGGCGTCTCCCTCTAGTCTCAGGCTCTCCCCTGGGGGGCTCCTCTGACAGATGCAGATCGTCGTTTTTTGTGCCTACCTGTGTAGGCCTGAATGCCAAAATACCACCTCCATCACTCACCGGCTGAGTGGAATCACCAACTCTACCTCTCTGAAACTCTGTTTATCTGAGATGAGGACACTAATGCTTTCATTCCCCACCTTATGAGGGCACAGGATGTCTCCTACTCTGAGAGCATGGCACATGCTGCACACACGGGCTGGGGGTTCCATTCCATTCCTGAGTCCCTGTGTTTCCTGCCCTCCGTTCCTGGCAGAATTCTCACCACAGGCAATTTTTTCCGAAGTTCCTTTCGTAGGATTCCGTCATTGAGCAGCACCAGCAGGTTAGAGGCAGAGTACACTGAGGGGGAGAGGGTGGCCTTGAAAGGCTGGCTCTGCAGCCTCCTCCCCTCTTACCTTCTCCCCAGAGCTGCAGGCATCACCTGTCACCTGCTGTGCTCAGACACCCACGGCCTATGTGGAATCCAACCTGCCTTTCCACCTGCTTCCTCACACCCCACTCTCCCCCCATATGATCCTGTGTGAAAGGATCAGGTCATCTCAGTGACAAGCCAGCCACTGCCCTGCTTGACAGCGCTGGTCACCGAGCTGTCCAGAACTGCCTGTTGGATCGAAACAGTCACAGTGTGTGGTCCCACCGCCTGGCCTTTGCTCCCTCTGCAGCCTGTCCCGGCGAGTCTACTCCATCTCCACCTTTCAAACCCCAGCTCATGCTTTCCGGGCTGTCACCTCCAGTACTCGCTGGGCAAATACTCCTGCAGTTACAGCTCGGGAACCCTGGAACCTGGGAGATCTGCGTTTGCATCTCGGTTCTGGGGTCACCAGCGACTGTTCCCTAACTTCACTGAGCTTCTATCCCTTAACTGGACAGCGAGGACAGCAAGAGTACCCGCCTCTGACGACTGTAGGGAGGATTAATTGGGAAAGGCGCTCAGCACAGCACCTGACCAGCAGTGGACACTCAGTCAAGGTCCACAGACGTGTCTCTCGACTGGGGGACGTGGAGGGCCCAAGAGAGCGGACAGCAGACCTCTGTCTGATTCAGGTGTAGCCCAGGGCGATCTAACAGGCAGCTCAGGACCGGGCTGCGGCGCTCACGACTCTGGAAAGCTTTCCCGGGCCCAGGCCGCCCCTCGCCCACCCCCGAGCCCGGCTCACCCAGCTCTGACAGCTCGTGCGAATCGGCGAATCGACCTGGGAAGAAGGCACAGGGGGAGGCTCACCGTTCGTCTGCGGGTCCCCGAACGTCCCCGCCCTACGTCCTGCGGGAACCTGGACGGGACTTCTCAAGCCCAGCCATCACCACCCTACTCCGCAGGGAAGGGGGCCGCCGGGTCACAGGTCAGGGCCCGAAGGAACGGATCAAAGGTCGGGGCGGCACCTGCCAGCAGGTAACTGAGGCCTCGTACTGCCGTCTCCAGCTGGGCCGTGGCGGCCGGGTGTCGAGTCACAT